TGCTATATCTACAAAACAAAATACAAAAGACGTGTTTCTTTAATACATCGCTTTTGCAAGGCATTGAAAGAAAAATCTTGAGATACAGTCCTATCTTACATAAGTCCCTTGCCTGTTTGATTTTAATTGATAACGTTTAGAATTTCACCACAACATTTTTGTTAACAACAGAGCACATGTTAATATATTATTATTCAAGTAAAAGGTCAGAGTAGGATCAGTCAATTGAAATGTTTTTCAAACTACAGACCGACAACAGAAATAATCACTTCGATGCTTCAGATGTTGACGTTTATAACTTAACCATAAACCTGATGAGCTATTGAATTTTTGAATTATGCTGTTTTAAGTTTTGAACTGCCCATTACACATTTATTTGGATTTTAATTTGAAATACAAAACATACAAGTTTCGCGTGGTAGGTATAGAGCCTGGTAAATCTGCATGGTTGGACAGGATGGCAGTGTAAAGGTTGATCACTTTCGGAACCAAACGTTTCTTTAAAGGACGATGCCTTTCATCTTTCTTTTCATAATAATAATTGGTCCTCATCCATGTTTTTGGAAAGCTTCTTTTTTGTTGTGCGCTTGTAATCATATGATTGTAGCGCTATACAAATACTTCTGAAGCAGCAACTTTTTTTAAAGATTTCTTCGAAACTTTACGAATCCCCTAAACCGTTTAGTTTGTATCATATTTGGAAATAATTCTAAACATGGTTTCAACTCATTTTGCTTAAAATTTCATTCCCTTCTGAAGCAATGATTGCAGTTTTCATAAAGTATCGGCTCTTCATATTTAATTGCATAAGGACGGTCACAAGTTTCGGGACAGTAACCATCTTTTTAAGTTATGAAATGCACAATATGTCTTAGAAGCAAAAACATTTTCACTTCTTTAGAAAGGGTAAGCATTAATTTTATTACATTTTGATAACGGTTTTAGAGCATGTTTAATATTGTTATCTGAAGTAAGTAGTTCTAAATGTGAAATAATTTGTCATAAAATTAGCAAAGTGTAACAAAAAAGTATTTTGCCTTTCACACAAAATAGTAAATCATTATTATAATTGTACTGAATGCCAAAAAGCAACTACAAATCGGAAACATTACTCAGGTAATTAACCAATGAGTAACATTTTAGAATCTATAAAAGTACACCAAATATAAAAGCTTTCAAACAATAAAAATAAACGCAGTTTTGAGGCATAATCGGCCTTAAATAAAAATAAGAATTTTAAAGTTATAAATAAATAGAGGATATTTATTTAAATCAGTGTAAGATCGGAATATATTTCACCGAGTGAGCACCAAAAGGTATATTTCACGAGTGGCCCAGCCACGAGTGAAATATGAACTTTTGGTGTTCACAAGGTGAAATTTATTTCGATCTTACACTAAACTAAACAAATTTTATTTTTATTACCTGCAAAGAACGTTTTAAAAACACATTTAACCTAATACTGAATGAAAAGCGCGCCAAATGATAATACAACGTGACGTCATTTACGACGTCACGTCATTAAGTTGGTACCCAGTACTGTGCACGCTGGTATTTCACTGCAACAACGTAAGGGGCTTATATTCGAAACAGTGAAATTATCAAAGTGGTAATTTCACTGTTTCAAACAGTGAAATTACCAGTTTTATATCACTGATATATTTCTATAAACCACCGAAAAGCATGTAATAAAAGTCAATAAATTGTTGTTGAGTTTAACTTACTTTTTTTAGATTGCAAGGTGTTTGTAAAATATTCATTCTCATTTGCATATGTCTTAATTATCAGATCGTCTTACAAAAACTAGGTTCAACTTTTTACAAATAAAAACCTAGTGATTGATTTACCAAATTGAAAGTTAACTGATCGATCCTTCATCATTTTCTTATTAAAATAGTCTCAATTTATCAGACGACTTTGTGTACTTTCAATATCCTTTCAATCTAATTTTTTCGAACACAATTTAAGATTCTAATTTCGAGAAACAACAAAGTATTGGCATAGCAGATTAAGTAGATTTTAAGGTTCTGTTATTTGTTCCGTACAGCTCAAAAGTTTAATGAAATGTTTTTTGCAGGTTTCATATCTCAATTGTGTTCTATTCTTATTGCATCACATTCACTAATGTCTTCAATTTGAATTGTAAAGGAGGTTTGGCTGATACGTGTAAGACTTGACCTGAAGGTCTAAATTATAATTTATGCATTTATTGAATTGGATTGATATCACTTAAAAACATTCTGTTTGTTGCCGAATTGTGTACTTCAGCATACTTCGCTTCGTTTTTTTTCACTGAGTTAAACGTCGTTAAACATGCAACGGAGGTTATACTGGACAGCAAGGAACGTTTTTCTTTCAAAGAGGTTCTGAGGCTCTTATGCAAATGTGTATATATTCTTTTAAATACATAATTCATGGAGTTGAAACTTTGAGTTATATTTTAAAATGAAAATAAAGCGAAAATGACTAAACAGATGACCTAATAATTACCATATTAAGCGATTCAAATAAAAATACAAGTATAAACTTAAAAAGCACATCGTTAATTTGGTGCATAAACAAAATTGTTGAAATATTGTTTTGCTCAATCGATCGTTTTCGAAGCAGACGAGGAAATCAGGGACAATTCATAAGATATCAAAAAATATGAAAACAACTTTTTAAGACAGTCAAAGCATTCAAAGCAAATTGAAGGAGATTTTACAAATATTAATATAAAGTTAATCGATTGTGTTTTATTTCTTATTGCATCACATTCACTAATTTCTTTAATTTGAATTGTAAAGGAGGTTTGACTGATACGTTTAAGACTTGACCTGAAGGTCTAAATTATAATTTATGCATTTATTGAATTGGATTGATATCACTTAAAAACATTGTGTACTTCAGCATACTCCGCTTTGTTTTTTCACTGAGTTAAACTGACATATGCAACAATTGAATATAAATTATTAGGTCATCCGATAAGTCATTTTCGCTTCATTTTATTTTTAAAATATAATTCAAAGTTTAAACTCAATGAATGTTATATTTAAAAGAATATATAAATATTGGCATAAGAGCCTGAGAACCTTTTTGAATGAAAAACATTCCTTGCTGTCCTATATATATAACCACGTTTAACTCAGTGAAAAAACAAAGCGAAGTATGCTGAAGTACACAATTCGGCAATAAACAGAATGTTTTTAAGTGATATTAATTTAGACCTTCAGGTCAAGTCTTACACGTATCAGCCAAACCTCCTTTACAATTCAAATTGAAGAAAATTAGTAGTGGAAGTAGGAAAAATAAACTTATCACTCAACACATACCACTATTGTTTTATATACCTTATGTTCAACCCATTATCATTGTATAAACATCATAAAACATCTGTAGTTTGGTATATGTCGATGTCTGTGTTTAAATTGGGGTAAATAAGAATGTAGGTTCCCGGCTTGCTTTTAATGTGTTTATTGTTTAATCGCTCATAAAATGTAACAGTTACATAGTTCTGGTAAATGTAATTTTTATCATCATAAAAACAAAAACTTGTCATTTTAGAGAAATATTTACGTTAACTTCAAAGTTACATGAGAAATAGAAACATTCCTGCATCTTACACTGTTTCATATATCCATTGTGCTATAATTATTCGTTATATTAATTATTTCAAACTTCCGCCTTATGAAAAGTTAAACTTTTGCAGTGCGACACCCTTCGGTAGACAAAGATTGTGGTTGTCTCTAAGAGATGTTGCTAAAGGGAGGAAAAATTAATTCTAAAGTTTCTTTTTATGTTTTTTTTTTTTTTTTTTTTTCTTGTTTTTCTCGTTTTTTGTACATTTTGTCTCCTTTTAAGAATTTATTCTGTTGTTACAGTAGATAGTGTAGAAATTAATGTTCTATATGTTGACGATCTGTATGCATATATTCAAAGCTTGTGTAGGTCTATCCTGTCTTTTAAGAACCGAAAGTACACATCCACGACACGTCAAAATTCATGCCCAAAGGGTCGGTCAGTATAGCTTGTATTGTAATATAAATAAAGAATTTTCTAACGTTCAGTTAATATTTGTTTAATTGTATTAGACATACACTGACAAATACTCTAGGCCTAAAAATTAATTTGTTTCCGCTTCCCTACCAACCCGGAAAATATGCGCCTAACCAAAAGATGTTTTCAGGTTCTTAGGGGATAAAAGTATTTTTTCTTTCAGAGTACAATAGGTGCAATCTCATCTGATATTTTAGACAGCTAGCATAGTTAATAAATTGTTGCATATGTCAGTTGTGAATATGGTAATGCATGTACATATACTAGTGCACTTTTTTTTGTAATTTCAATTGTTCATTAAACATATATGCAGATTATTTATCATTATGCACATATAAAAAAAGATTTCCTACCTACCCAACCTTAATTTTAATTTGGAAACAAACATAATTTTATTTTTGGCCTTATATGTCTTACAGAACATATACAATGGTGTAGATCTTGTTTTTATACCCTTTTGGTCCTTCATCCAAAGGAGTTGTTTCAAAAAGGTTGTATTTTTTCAAAGCCAATACATATCATCAGTAAAACAGAACAAACTCTCCCCTCAAAATTTTTCAATTAGCAATGTGAGTAAGTTAAGCGTTGTATTCTTATATGAACGAGATATATTAAAAATGTTAAAGTTATATATAACTAACATTTGTTTTGAGATTTTGAGACAGTTGTGACACAAATACAAATAATGAATTTTTCATATATATATACCACCTTCAATAAAAGAAATTCAGTAAATTATACAAACTTTTAATCTCTTATATTTTTGTTATTTAAGCTTAAAGCTGTCAAAGCATTAAATCGTTTTTCAACAAAACAGAACGTTAAATATATTTTCATAACCATAGAAAAGTCATTGTAATACTTATTAATTTAACACATAAAGAACGCCGGTATGAGAAAACGACCGTAAACATCATTTAATAAATGACGTCAAAAGACGTTAACGTTGTCTTTGACGTTAAAAGTAAAAATGTGCTTCGCTTTTGAAATAGAATAATTTTGAAGATAAGTATAAAAATGTAAAAATAATTTTTCAGAAGATTTTATGTATTCCAAAAGCAACAGAAATAAATATTGTTAAGAATCAAATATGTCAATTTATAAAGAAAAAAATAATAAAATGACGTTATGGGTTGTTTTCTCATACCGGTTTATTACCTTACAGGAAACATGAACAAAATATAACTAACATTTATGTGCCTCATTTTCATTGTTTAGTTAGTTTATAATAAACATTGCAAAGTTATTACAGTTTTCTCGTTTATTCGCAAAGTGCAGCTGTTTCGCTACAATTAGGTTTTTAGATACAAGGAAATGGATATGGTTTTACCAAACATAAAGAAAGGAATTAATTTGGATTAAAACCGGATGATATTAGTATACTTAGATAACATTAAAGAAACACTTATTCAAATGCTATAAGAGGGCAGACCCGATGAAGCTAGATGTCGTAACATTACTGTTTCTATATGTTTTCTGTCGCCGTCTCGCCTGATAAAATCTGTATTTTGGACAACAACAGAAAATAATCCGTCCAAATGCTCGACGAAAATCTCTCATTGACAATGCATAAATAATAGGATTAACCCCTGAATTTATATATCCTAACCAAGTAAATATAGGGTATATAACATCCGGTTTAGTAACACATTCACCACATATTCCAAGCAGAACATTTGTCACAAAGAACGGAAGCCAGCATATTGTGAAAACACCAACAACTATTCCTAGTGTTTTAGCCGCTTTTTGCTCCTTTGCAAGTTTTGATAATTTTTTGCTTAATGCTAAATGTCGCAGTCTCTTTGTTATGAATTTCATTGGTCTTTGATTATGGTGCTGATTTGAATGCTCATGTGCATTATTTTCATGTGAATGAATTTCATGATTGTTACTATGTATGGGTGTTTGATGATGTGGCGTCATACTTGACGTCATTTCCGTGTCCTCATCGTCACTATCACTATGCTTTTTGAATGGCGATAATTCCGGTGTAGTACTGGGAGAACGAAGTTTAGCCATTCCCCCTCGATGTATGCGTAACGTCATGACACCACTCGGTCCAAAAAGACGATTGGATGTCAACACTTTGGTCCCTGTTTCAATACTTTTTCTTTGGTTGCGTGCTGCTCGGTAAATTTGTAGGTACACAAATATCATAACAATTGTAGGAAAATAGAATGACACCAGCGAGGAAAATATCAAATATGCACTATCTTCTGTAAAAACACACATCGTAGAAGGCAAGTTTGCAGGGGTTACTGCTTTCCACCAAGCAATAGCGGGAAATGATATGCCCGCTGAACATAACCAAACAAACGTTATTAGAATAGACACTCTACACGGCGACATTCTTGTTGGATATGCAATAGGGTCCGTTATAGCCCAATACCTATCAAGGGAAATAATGCATAGGTTTAGAATGGACGCCGTGCTACCTAAGACGTCGAAGGAATGCCAAAGATCACACCACTCGGGTCCATAGTGCCACACTCCGTTATTTAATTCAAAACTAATACTGAAAGGCATCACAATTCCCCCAACCATAACGTCCGCTATGGCAAGAGAGACTATTAGATAGTTAGTAACTGTTCGAAGATAAAGTTCCTTCACAACCGCTGCGATGACAAGCATGTTTCCTAGAACGGTGACAAAGGAGAACATGGCCAGCACGACCCCCACAAGTGGATGTTTTTGGTCCAATACAACCTCTTCAGTTGCTTCTGTCGTATTTGCAAACATTGGAGATCTTTGCTCATAACTCGCGATCTTCTCAATAGTTGAAGACAAATATCCCAGAGCCAGATTCAACGCTTTAAGCTTCCTCTGCAAAAGGAAATCATTGATCTATATTATTTTCTAACATACTATATAAATATCATGTTTATGATATTAAACTGTCAACAATATTCCATATATCTTTCATAAGCTTGTCTCTTAATATCATTGGAAACTAAAACAACCGATTGCTTCCGCCATAAACTGTTTTTTATCCCAAATCTAATTTCTTCTTCAAGTTTACTTGTAAACTTATTATTAATAACTTTAATCGTTTAAATAATACGATACATTTACATTTTCAAGAAAGGAATGACTTGAATATTGGTTTGGAAAGAAATCTGCTAATATTACTACATAATAAAAATCGTTATAAAATCTCCATTGTTTTGTTTTATTTTTTGTGTGTATATACGTAACAACTTCTTTGTCAGGGATGCACTGTTCGCGATTCATTCAATAGATATCTTTATTTCCCCTGAATGACGAATGTGTAAAGAACGATGGACAAGTCAGTGAGAGGCGGTGTGGCCAAATTGGTTCAAATCTCTCAGGGGCAATGCAAGCCGTTGATGCCGTGAGCAAGAAACTTAAAACTTATTGCTTAAAGTACTGGTTGGTCCCAGGAATGGATTCGAAAGTGTTTCAATAAGCTCATAGCTTCCAACACAATCGAACTAAAGTAAATTTAATTTTTTAATTTAGTATAGACTAATTTGAAATGTATTTAGCGTCATTAGGGTTATGTTTAAATAAGCTAATTCAAAAGGTTCATCACCTTTTAAAAGAAGTTTTGTCCAAGGAAGTGCCGGAGACTCAAATCTCTTGGCGTCGATGTTATCCGGCAATACTAGGTCCCATATCTTTTGTTGCCGTACTTACAAAATGTTTAATGTTTGCTTGCATTTTATATGGATTTTTATTGTGAAAGCATCCTTCATTCAAGGCTTTTTCTCAAGGCAATATCTGTAATAGAAGAAACCATGTATGTTATCAACTTTATCATCACACCATTACTTTTACTCTTATATATCTATCACATTATAATGATAATTGTGATTATAATAATGATGACGACGATGACGATTTTGGTGTTACTTCTGAGGATGAGCATGATTTTTTTATGATACTCATGATAATGAATTTGATGATGAATTTGATGATGATGATGATGATGATGATGATGTTGATGATGATGAATTTGATGATAAATTTGATGATGATGATGAATTTGATGATGATGATGATGACGACGATGATGATGAAGTCGTTGCCATAATTTACATAATATTTATCACATTAAAGTAGTTGTTTCATAAATATATATGAATACATGTTTGACAAGGATGAAGTTATTTTTAGGAATTAATATTCAAAGAAGGTTTAGCAGTACAGTTATATTAAATAACATGTGTATCATCAGACATTTCGCTTACACAATCTCTTATCAGGAAATGTTATATCTTATTATTTATATCATTTTTAGTTGGTACATAAGTTCACATTACGAATAGTACAATGCTGCTGTAAAGTAACAAAGGTGTTCCAATCATTTCGAGCTAGAAACAGCAAAATCATCTCCGTTTACAAGTTTATCTTTATTTCAAATTATCGTTTTTCATGCAGATTAGTTAATAATTCAATACACTAAGTAAAACTTTTGCAATAGCGTTTTGGATTACAATAGTGAACTGAGCGTTACAAAAAATAGTTATATCACATATGGATTGCGATGACGTCATCTGCATGAATGTTTCATGAGCATGAAAGTTTATTGTCCTTTTATGACAACCTTGCAAATATAACGGCACGACAATCTATTTGAGACATTTAAACGTGTATGTCGTAAAAAATAAAAGACTCAAGTTTAAGCAATAAAATTTGCAAATTGATGAGTAAGTATCTTAATTATTATTATAAAACCATTTGATCAAAAATAATCGTTTTACACAATGAGGGGGGATGGGGGGGGCTCCAACCAATGAGGACCAAAACATTAAAAGCATATATTTCTTGAATCCTAATCTGTGCAAATAAAACGGTAAAACAGTATGAAAGTATATTAAAGAAATATACTTAGAATTAAAATTGAAAATATAATGTTAGCGCGATTCGAAACTCGTTTTAGTGAGACGTTTCATTTGTAGGTCATTTTGAACAACAAAAAGATAATTATTCCTGCCGGCGATGATTGTAAATTTTGCACACTAGTAATTGGTATTGGTATTCTGACAAATGCATGAATCTGATGCCGACAGAACGCTGAAAGTTAAACTAGTCAGAAAACATCGTTTTGTTGAACGGACGCCGGCATAAGAATATCACCCTTAACGCCATTTAACAAATGACGTCAAAAGACGTTAACGTTGTTTGTGACGTTAAAAGTAAACCAATTAACTGCTTTTGAAATGTTAAAGATTAAAATGAATATGTCACAATAAGCAAATTTAAGAAGATTTTATTTATTTTAATAGTGGTTATTTTCAAGTAGCAAGTATTCAATTTATATTTAGAATTGTAAATGACGTAATGGGTTGTTTTCTCGTGCCAGCGGTACATGTTATGAATTATTAACTGTCTTCACAAGTGCACCGCCGGTAATACTCGGTTTTCTTGAAAGTACATCGCGTATGATGCAATGTGCCTTTTTACAAATCATAACTCAAGTATTCCATTAAAAACAGTCCCAAAACATGGGAAGTATGATATTTATATTAGCAGCAATTAACTTTTTTTGCACGGAACACTTATTGCACTAGGATGATATTTTGTAAACTGCGTGTTGCACCACTTAGGCTTATCAGTCTGTTTCGTGGCAAAAATATGTTTAAGAATCATACACTCGACAGCATAATAAGTTAGCATATAAATAAAGATTCCTTGGCAATTTGATGAGGTCAAGTCAGTTCTAACATTAATGAGATATTTTTCTGATGTAGTATGTATTGTTTTGTTTTGTTGTTATTATTATTCATTTTGTTTAATTCATTTTATTTATTAATTACTTTTTAGTTTGTTTTTCGTTGTTGTTTAGTTTTTGTTTGTTCGTTGGTTGAATTTTGTTGTTGTTTTGTTGTTTGTTGTTTTTTTTTATATTTTTTTAGCATGCTTACTTGTTTGTTTCTTTCTTTCGTGATTTTTTTGTTTTAGTTTTTAATGTGTCTTGGGTTTAGGGGAGGCGGTTAATATTCTTGGTTCGTTTTTTTGTTGTTTTTTTTTTCGTTTTTATTTTCGCGGTGGGGGGGGGGGTTTTGTTTGGGTTTTTTTTTTTTTGCTGTCTTTTTTTAATTTCTTTTATTTGTTTTATTTTTTTTTAATGTTCGTTGACCTCCGTAAATCTGAAGTATGATTAGATATCGTTATTCACAGACTGTTTTAGAACACCAGGCATTTTAAGAAATAAAAAAATATATATATTTTGTTTTCTTTTCACACAAACACCTGATTGTGTTGTATGTTGTTTTTTGGGGGTTTTTTGTTGTACTTTTTTCATTATTGTGATGATATGATTACATAATCAACTTGAAACATGATTAGAATCATTAAATATCTTTTTTACAACCTCAAATGACTACAATGTTGACAGCAGCACATGTGTCAATATTTGAACATGCAGCATTACGTACATGAATAACCTATATCATAATTAATTATTAAAGTCTATTTTTCGACTATGTTTAAGTCTCTGTTCTACTTTTTCGTTCAGTAAAAAAGTTCAATTTAAAAAGAAATATATTTCTCAAAAAGTACGTCTACGACTAAATCAGTAAGATGCTTATAACATTAACATCACGTTAAACTTCTCTTAAAGGCCCATTATGTCCCAGAAATGCTTCTTTTTATTTTCATTTCTCAAAATTTTTTTTTTTTATTTTTTTATTTTTTTTTTGTGCCCTGTTACACACTATTAAAGTTATTCATTGGCCAATTATCTGAACAATGTACTAATTCTGTTACTTTTTAGCAGGGAATACAGTCATTTTAGTCATTTCATAAGAAAGTCAAATTACTACTTTGTTTACATGCTGTTTCTTTAACGACACATAAAATCAAAATTCAGTGCTACTTTCTTCTGATAATAAGCATCTAAAACGCTTTTGAACCAATACTTAATCATATTGATAAAAATCATGTTTGTCATTTCTACAGAAGGAAAATAATCGCTTCTGGTTCATCATGTGCCTTTAAACAGCTACATTCGTTCCTACGTCGCTTTTTGTGCCTTTTTAAATCTTTAAAACGAATCATATTGGCGCCTATTACAAAAACATCAATCAAAAGGTCAACACACTTGCAGAAAATTTACTGATGACATTGCTATAATAACGTGAATTATGTCGTTCCAAATAAATATGCTACGTCATCATACTGCTATTTTGGTACTTCGTTTCTAAAAATAATCTTCTTTTTTTGAGGCGCATTTGAGTGATGAGGGTGTGTATGGGAGTTTATCAAGAATTCATTTAATATAAATCAAATTTGCCCTTACAAGACGAAACAGACTTCAGGTTTAATATTAATCGTCAATAAATCAACTGTCAGATAAATTAGAATTTAATGCGTTCTTTTGAATTGGAGATATGTTTTGTATTTCTTGCTTGCTCGGCATTTGTCTGCGAGTATTAAAAGATATAAAGTTAGAAAGAATATATGAATCTTTTCACATTTATATAGATTTGTTTTTTTAATTAAGTAAAAGAAGAAAACCAAGAGCAATAAGCATGTTTGGCTAAAAACGTTTTCATTAAATGGCCTTTTGTTCTCTTTTGATTTGTTTGATACATTGTTTATCGTTTAATACAAGAATTGTAGTGTATGTATGCATTAACGTTTTAATACAATCATCAACATCATTTTAAGACAATCATCATCATTTTAATACAATCGATATCATCATTGTTTTAATACAAGCAACACGCTTTAAATACAGGCATCGTCGTTTTAATACAAGCATCACCGTTTTAATACAAGCATCATCGTTTTAATACAAGCATCATCGTTTTAACAAGCATCATAGTTTTAATACAAGCATCACCGTTTTAATAAATCATTAAGGTTTCATATAGTTTCATATATCATAATACTATCATCATCGTCATAATACAATCATCATCGTCATAATACAAGCATCATCGTTTTTATTCAATCATCATCGTTTTAATACAATCATCATAGTTTTAATACACGCATCATAGTTTAATGCAGGTATCATTTTTTTTATACAATCATCGTCGTATCAATACAATCATCATTATTTTAATACAATCATTATCGTTTCAATACAATTATAACCGTTTTTTATACAATCGTCATCGTACCATCGTTTTAATACAAGTATCACAAATTAATGCAGGTATAATGGTTTTTATACAATCATCATCCTTTTACACAGGCATCATTGTTTACGGAAGCGTATCAGGGCCTACAGTCGGTGAGATGTTTTGCGCCAAGTCAACTTATTTTTATTCGCATTGATAAGATGTTTTTGCATTTCTCAATAAAATTTACTAACAAATATGAGAAGCTTTTAGGCATTGCAACTGAATTTTTATCGATTTGCTTGAAGCTGTTGTCTCTGCGACAAAAATCCTGTCGAAACTTCTTGATTTCACGACTTTGCTGAAATATTTAGTAAGACTCAAAGACGTTACTCGCATTGACAAATAGCTCACGTAATTCAACAAAGTTTTTTTTCAATGATTAAAAACTTCTACGTATTACGTATACATCTTAATGTCTTCATAGAATATTTTTATGTATTACGTATTAATCATAACATCTTCATGGAATGTATTTGGTCAAAACGAGAAGAAACAAGTTGACATGACGTGAATTTTTTAGATAAGTGGAGGCCCTAATAAGCTTCCGTAATTGTTTAATAAAAGCATCAACGTTCGTGAAATACAAATATTCTCGTTGAATTCAAGTATCATGTGAAATCGTTTAATAAAAGCGATCATCGTTAA